GTCAATCGACGGATTCAACTCGGCTGGGCAGCGTTCGGGAAACTATGACACATCTTCTCGTCAGACATACCTCAAAACCTGAAAACGAAATTGTACAACCAGTGCGTGTTGCCAGTGATGACTTACGGATCTGAGACGTGGTCCTTCACTGCTGGCCGTATGAGGAAGCTCAAGGTCGCTCAGCGAGCTATGGAGAGGGCTATGCTCGGGGTTTCTCTGCGTGATAAACTTAGAAATGAGGATATCCGCAGTAGAACTAGAGTGACCCACATAGCCCCACGGACGGAAGAACCGACAACCGATGGGGAAGAAAGGTTCTCGAGTGGCAGCTTCGTACCGGTAGGCGAAGTGTAGGGCGACCCCCCACGAGTTGGAGTGACGACCTGGTAAGACATGCAGGAAGTCGATGGATGCAGGTGGCTCAGGACCGTGCTTTGTGGCATTCCTTGGGGGAGGCCTATGTTCAGCAGTGGACTTGTGAAAGGCTGTAATGATGACTCCTCGTGTAGTCCCATATGAATTTGATTAAGGCCAGACCAATAGTTTTTGAGTTATTCTTAATAACGTATATTGAAGTCGGCTGTACAAAATTTTTAATTTTAAATTATAACTTGCATATTTCTTATTACTACAATATATAATGTTTACTAAAAATTGCATACATAACTAAGGTTCTATAAATAGAAATATTTTAACTTTCACTGTTCTTTCTAAATAATACGTTATTTGTCCCTTATTGTTCAACCGACTTCAAAAAAGGGGAGGTTCTCAATTCGACTGTATCTTTTTATGTGTTACCTCAGATTTTTTTTCTAGGTGAACCGTTTTCGATGATTATTTTTTTATTTGAAAGCTGGTGCTTCTCAGGTGGTCCCATATAAATTGATCAAGATCTGGCGAGTAGTTTTTGGGTTATCCTTAATAATGCGTATTTAATCGACTTCGACTACATTAACGATGTTCTCATTTTATTTATATTAAAGTCGGTTGTACAAAAATTTTAATTTTACCACTTGCATTTATTCTGCTACAACGCAATTTTGGTCTTAGTTTTGCAACTTACTTCCAGTGTACACGTCCCGAACATGCAGCTTTCTAAATTTAAGTTTCAGCTCTGAAACTTAACTAATGCAGAGCTGTTGCAATTGTTTCCTTTCGCACAAATTTTATAATTCTGTGATATGATTTATTCTAACTAATAATACTTACAGAAAGTTGCATAAATATATATATTATGCAATAAATATATCACCACAATAGTTTTCTAATTGTTATTTGTGAAAAAAAAAATGCAAGATCATCTTAACATTTAACTTAACGTAATATATATATATATATATATATTAATTTTGATTGAAAGCAAACCATTTAGTACCCGCGTTGATAAACGGATATCCTTTATTCTGAAAGCACCAACTAAGCTAGGCCACTAACTCTTATTAGGTACTGCCGTGAATAGTAATGATTATTAGGTAAGATAGGAATGTTAATGGTGAAATATACGCATTTCATTTTGTTTCACACCATTAATATCTTTATTTTTGTTTTGGTATCACCACGGCTTATCAAATGTCCACTGCTTAACATAAGCCTCCGCATAAATGGCCATATACAGCGGATATTTGCCATAGTTCACGTACGCCGCCACTACACGGCGGATTAATGTCTCTTTTTGTTTTGATATATGTTTAAGTTTTGTTTTAACACTTTCTTGTTAAATCACAAGTAAACTAAGTAACTAAAAGAAACTGCCCAAGTGCGTGCCACGTACAATGTAGAGGTAGGGTTTCGTAGTTGCCCGTCATAATATGTGGGCTTTCTTGATAATAAATGTATTGAGTTCGGGGTTTGTCCAAACGACTAAAAATGGGCCTAAATAGGACGATGGTATAACTGAAGGACTTATTTTCCAATCAGACTTATAAGGAGTGGTATACAAAAAAGATTTTTTTAATTTTAAACAATTTTGCAAATAATACAATCTACATCAAATCATTCATATGCCAAGTCCGAACAAATATGGTCATAGTTGGAACTATCTATCTATATATTCTCGGCAGTGCAACTCTAAGATATATATACGACCGTAACGAAGCTTCCCGTATACCATCACTGTCCTGAATTATTCTGAGTACCACGAAGTGAACTGTATGAGGATTTAAGATTGTATGAATATTTTCAATGAGGCCTACAATAACTACCAACTAAAAAATAAGTGTAAGTAGTAAGTAAGAAAGAAAGATCCTCCTTGCCTATCCCGCAAACGAAAAAGTAAAGCTATAGTAGTAATGCATATAAGTAGCTTTCTTCATAAAATGTTTATTTCTTACAGATTACAATAACATTACAAAGTTATAATGCAGCTATTTTTAAGTTATTTTCTATGGAGATGTAACGAAATTTTTACAAATCCAAGTGCATTTTATAAGTTGGTCGTCTATCACTCGTTAACTTGCTAATTCTACTTAGCTGTGATAGTTTTCCTTTTAACTTCATTATATATACTACTATCGTGTATACTTTTCACATTTCCAAACACAGTGGTTTCACAAGACCTATCTAACGAAGTAATCTAACTGGATAGACGGGTAAAAAAAACATCCTTCACTTACCTGTATGGGAGATACCCAAAATAAAAATGTTTTTCAAGATTTTATTCCACAGTTTTGTAAGCGTGATTAATATCTATAACTACGACAAAATTCAAATATTTTCCTTGTTGTTAGACTACGGAACCCTAAAAACACAGAGTTAAAATTTAATTACGACGAAACTAAAATTTGTTCTATTCCATTATTCATTATCCTCATCCTTACAGTTCATCGCAAGTCTACTGCTGAACAACAAAAATAAAAATACGCATCTAGTGGCGGGCCTCACACTCCTTATTGGTACGAGGTGACCACTCAAATTACGCATCACATGTAAAAAAATCCTGTTCGAACCGTGAGGGTGCTTTTAGATATCGTGTTTTCATATTGTTCATATAATCCTCTTCAGAGAATCAAGTAAAAATATTTCCCCGCAAAATTTGATTAAATGGAGAAAAGTACACGGCAAAACATTAAAAAGGACATAGACAATGTGTGGAAATAACTCTCAATCTATTATTCGTGGTAGAGCCATGTTGGTGCAGCTATGTATATAGTTATAGCACGTATGGGTCAGCTCTCGCTCACGCTCTTACAGAATACCAGCGTTATAGCAGTTGTGTTTCTTATGGTATGTGTAGTGGTTTATTCCGTTTATCCATCCTAGGTTGGATACTCGGAAACGCGTGTTCATCTATCTACACCAGACGGGATGGATAACCGGAATTCGTGTATTATTTTTTCTTCCGATTTTCTGCCTCGGCTGTGTACAGTCGTTTATATAGACAGGATAAAAACTGGCCCAAGATACTTAGTAGACATTAGCATACCTATAAAAATATATACATACTTCTTTTTTCTAAGGTCAACTCTAAAACAGAAGGAATACCTCACAGGATTACCGATTCAATTGAATCTTGTCATTAAACAATTTAAAATTAAGGTTAAGACAAACATCCAAAAGTAACGTTTTTGGAATGTTTGCAAAAACGCCCAGTTTTTCGCTAATACATGTTGTAGCAAAGAAAGTTGGAAAACGATTGCAAATGTACATTAAAAGTGCGAATTTATCCAGGATATCAAGTTACACCTACTCTATATGAAAGTTAAAAAAAAACGAACCGTCGGGAATATAAAATAAGTTAATATACACGATAGAATCCGTAAAAACTAGTTTTATTTAAATCAATAATGAAATTAGTGTTCGTTATTTCCTGGACATATTGTAGAATTTATAAATAACGTAACAATATAATTTAAAACGAGGAAGTTTAATTTGATTTGAATGCAATATGTAATGCGTTGACTTTAATAGGCTGTAACACTAACGGTAACGGCAAATACATAATACGATTTTTGTTTAAGTTTGTGATTATTAAAAATTAATTAATAATTAAATTCTATGAGTTGACCTGTACTTGGGGTAAAAAATCGAAAGAAGAAATAAAAGAGCCGATAGATGAACACGCGTTTCCGAGTATCCTCCCTAAGGTGGATTTTTTCGGAATGGTTAAACGGAATAACCAGTGTAGAGAACCGGAGACACTTTTTACTGGAAACGAGGCATTACATCTTAGTGCTCGGGAGTGATAACGCATCTGCATTTTGATCCTTAATCGATGATAGATGTAGATAGATGTCTATGGGCCACAGTATCCACATACTATCAGGTGTCCTGTACTGTGTGCTCCTTTGTCACACAAAATAAAACCGCACATGCAAGTCCCCTGGCTACTGAGATTATTCTGTTAAAACTTACATTTAAAAAATATTATTGACTGTTGACATAATATGTCGTATCATTTTAATATAAGTTGTAATAATTTTAAATTAAATTGCAACACGGCTTTAGAAAAAAGATCCCAGTTTCTTGCCGGTTTTGCTCTGTGGTATTGTTTTTGCGAACGGCTGTAGATTTTGACGTTCATATAAGCTTTAACCATTTCACTGTTTCGTGAGTCATATATGAACATTTCCATTGTTAACTATAGTGTCCTTTTCGCGGATGGGGAAGTTGTTAAACAAGCCTAATTTTAATAAAAAGTTTTTATTGTTAAAATTACCACTTTAATTGGTGGTTCTTTTTTATATAATCTAAAAATTATGTTATATGGGAAGAAAAAAAATAATTATTTGGCGAAAGGCTTACTGAATGATACTAATACCTAATTTTATCGCGATTAATTTCATCTCATTTTGAAATCCCGTGGTTTGCAGCAGCCATTATCACAAAATGTTTTTTCGCCAATTTGACAATATATTTGAAAAATGTCCGTAATAATATCATATATTTATAATTATATTCTCAAAATTAGTCTTACTCACCTATAGGCGATGTACCACTTACGCGATGAGATTGGGAGTGCGTTTGCACGAAATATCAAAATCCTATAAATAAAAGTCACATCAAGACGAAACTAATAATTTGTATTTGAACAAACATTTGCCATGAGTGGGACCTAAGATTTGAATTCGAATATAGGATTCTTGAATTGGTACTCCTACTACTTAGCTACACTGCTTGCAAGTTCGACATTACCATTGGTTAATTTTCATATTTAAAATATTTTAGTTGTCTACGTTGGCTAATAGAGCACCGGTTTTAAATTATTTGTTATTAGTAATGGAAGTAGGTATTTTAAACTTAGTTTTTTCAAAATGCATAAATTGGCGCCCGCCTCTGTAAGCAGGGCGCTCTCCTGAAATATGCGTGTTACCAGCATACGAGCAATCCAATTTTAATCCTCATAGGCGCAAGTGAAATAATTAATGGCAATTTTAAATGCTGTATTATCACGTGCTTTTTGGTCAAGGAAAACACGAGGAAACATCCTTATTTTTATAAGACTTAGTGACAAATGAAACAATTTACCCGAGGGATGAGTGGCTATTGCATTCCATGGACACCTGCAGCCGACTTCAAACTACTACAGGCTTGTCACTACTGAGGAAACAACTCACAGCCCGTATATAATTCTGGCTTCTATTTCTTTACACACAGTAGTGCAAGCACTGCTATTTGGCGGCAGAAATAGGCAAGAGGTAGCCTACCCAGGAGTTCTACCACAAGTAATGTCTCAGAAATTTAAACATTTTCGAGGACATGAATTAGTGCATATACGCATTGGGACAGCGCGTTTTTTCCATGCGATAAAATACCCCTCTAAAACTTAAAAAAACTGTGGACGTATGTAAGCAATTACTTTTATTTCTGCTAGTGGTACATTTTAAGTATTAGTAACGATATATATGTATAGATGTCCTTCCTGATTAAAGTAATAAAGCGACGTAAACAATATTGTCTCTTGGGATATTATATAATCATGGCATGACTGGCTCTTATCCACTTTAACTGAATTACTATTGCTGAGTAATTAAAAATAGTGTATAACTTTACAGTTCTTCATAAACCCGTTAAATTCCACTGCTGCACATTATTTATAAAGTACTCCAAAAACTTTAAAGAAGTTACATATAAATTTTTTTAAAAATCATTTCATTTATACCGCTTTTTAGTACTGTAGGAATAGGTGATCAGCGTGTCAACTACATGTATAAGATGGAGTCATAAAATAATCGACTAAGTTTTTGTAAACGTTGTGACGCATCATTTATCAATGATGTCACGAAGCTGTAGCTATAAACGACTGTAAGATATAGTGACATCATAACATTATTATAAAAGTACATACGAAAATATTATATACATATTGGGGCATGCACTGTTGTGTACCTGTATTAAGGAGCCAGAATAATAAGTCTGGGAGAAATTCCATATCTATTTTTTTAAATGAAGTTCGTTCCAGTTATGGACTATGGTAGCCACTGGTGGACTGTTAGTTTGTCACAAGTGTTTTACTATGATTTTCTCTTGTATATTGGAGTCGTTTCACATAAAATTGCACAAGTATAAACACCCAGACCTGTAACACAGTAACTTACTGTTATATTTTTACTATGCGAGAATCAAACTTGCGGCTAAGTTTCGCAACCAAACTTAGCCTTTTCGATATAGAACCGTCTAAATTTTCGGGATAAAATTTAGAAAAACTACTCGCATTATCAGATTTCTTAAATCTAAATCAACAGATAAACGTCCAAATTATAGCATTTATATATTTGCTATAAAACCAAGAAAATAATCATTTACGATCATGACCTCACCGATGCACGTGTATTTTGTATCCATATGGCAATGGATATAGGAATTAACTGTAGCCGCAGCGATGCACCCCTCTTAATGGAAAGATGACCGTTACGAACGAATAATATGCATCGTTAATTTGCTCAAGCGTAATCGTTTGGTTGGTTACGACGGTAAACAAGCAGCGCCGAATTATCATTACGTTTATTGTTTTAGAAATGAGTAACATGACGAATCTGCTCCTGGAATCGAATGACTCATGCTGTTTTCTAATAATGCTTCATTAAGTAATCCCCACTATAAGTTATCATTAAACCTATAGTACGAGCTAAGGCCACTTCTTCTTGAAGAATTTTTTTTTTTATTACAGGGTGCGTTTACAAGATTTATTCGTCGTAACGAACATCAAGACTCAAAAAGAATCAATTACTAAGGTGCTAAATGGCAAAGTAGTGGCACTTTGTCAACAAACACAGTGTGATAAAACAGCAAAGGTGTTTACACTAGGCGATAAACCTATGCTCTCTCATGGACATGGTAAAAACACCAGCTATATGTTTTTGTTGGAAATTCACTTGTGTAACTTTTATTACAAATGTAAATGAAATACTGTGCTATTTTGCAATAACCAGCCAAATTTGCAAAGAAGATTCAGAATAAGTAATATAGGCAAATGGTGAAGAAAAAATTAATTACAAAAAATCACAAATATTCTGTCCCTTTTATCTTTTAAATTCAAAATACCTGGTAATGCATTATTTAACTAATTTTACTGCGCATGCAAACATTCGTAAGGGACGATCGGTAGGCAAAAACGTTGTTGCCCATAAATCACATTCAATTTGGGATAACTTCAAATAAAATTAGAAGTCTTATTTACTTGTATTTTCAAACCTGCAATAACAGTATACCATTATTTATATATTTGAATTTAAATGTAAAATTTGGCTACTCTGAAAATAACCCTGTATATACTTAATGTTTTTGTACTATAATTTCAGACCAAAAATTAAACAGCTTAAAGAACAATCAAGTGAATTCATAAAAAATTTTTTTTTTAAATATCTAAATAATAAATAGCATTCAGCTCATTGTACATGTGCAAGAATCAAGAGCGTACATCTAATCTTTGCTTAAAATATTGTAATTATATTTACATCATATTGTCTTTCAAAATATATAATATAAAAACTCATGAGCAAATCAATAATTCTGGAATTTGCTCTTTGGTATTTCCTTTTATGGCAATATCTTTCAGTTCTACTCACTCTGTTTTATTTATTCTTTGATCTGAGATTTTAATAAATTAAAATTTCTATTGAATGTTGTGTTCTTTAGTGTATTAAAGAGCACAACCTAATGAATCAAGGATGATGTAATTCAGAACAAAGTACATCATTAAAAACATAATGTGTATTATCAGTGAGTGCTCTTTTATAGTACTTGATTAAACTGATAACTTAAAATATTTTCATGTTTTTTCAGGCCTTATTCGTGGTGTTGACTGGGAAAAGGATGTCATATATGTGATCACTCCAATATCACCAAATGATTTGGCTTTAGTTGACACAATTCTGTATTGTGATTGGGTTCCAGAATTACGGGGACAAGAGAAGAACCTCCCGGAGGGCACTGTAATTCCTTATAGGACACAAAGTCAGTTCCAACAAAGACAACTCATGTTTGCACCTCGTAGGAGATTCAATCCCCTTCAGTTATTGAAGATGTCAAGGAATTCCTAAATTGAAAGTTCAATTGATTAGTTAATAAATTTGTAATTGGAATAGTTCCAAAATATCTTAAATTATAAAAGGAAGTCTAATTATTTAGTGTTAATTCATGTATATTTGAAGATAATTTTGTACTTACAATACTAATAAAACATAACATAAATGATTGTTTTAACTTAAATATTTCCCCCATCCTAGAAACCTTTGATTTATAAATGCTGTATTAAATTTTTATAAAAGTCAAAAAGTGTAGAAAAGAATTGTTAAATATGGGGTTCCTTTATTACTAATAAATTATATTAGCATGCAATGTAATCATATGGAAGTTAAAATTTCACACAAACAATAGATAACAATAAAACTGCCTAATTCAGTAACAGATGGACGTCTCCAAGACGTGTCTTGCTGACAGGCACTTAGCTGAGTCAGAATGGGGCTCATGCGCCATGTCAAATAAACATCCTAAACAATTTATACATCACTATTTTATTGAAAAATTAAAATACAAAATACCGAATTTAAATCTCGGTGATCTCGGTCCAGACTAAATCTATAAATCCTGAGGAAATGCTACTCAATTATATAACATGATAACATAGCACGAAAAATTCCAGTTGGCTTGTCAGGGTCAAAGCTCCCAATAGCTCATTTACTCCCTGACAGCATCTGTTAAGGCAATTACGCTTACTCTTTATAGTAATCTATAAAATATACAAGTACCAATTGTGAAAGTATAGCCACACGAATACTGAATGAATGTGCGTGCTACGCGGGCCGCGACATGGCGTCAGCTGTCAGTATCGGAAGGAAGCACTGTGTGGCCGACGTCGCGACTGCTGCAGAGTTCGAGTCGTTTCAAACGTAAGTTTACAGGCAGTATGCGAACAATTCATAAATCAGAGTCCCTCCGACAACAGCACAATTACAGCAGAGAACACCTGGTCTTCTTCTTCTTCTTGACTTGTAACGCGGCACGGGTCGCCGTCTCAAATACCTCACGAACACCTTCCTTGCTTTTGGCAGAACACTCAAGATATGCAAACGCATTTATTTTTTCGGCCATAGCGCGACCTTCTTGAGGCTTTACCGGCTCTTGTTTCATCTTACGTAGCTCATTAATGGTGGCCGGATCATTACGTAGATCCTTCTTGTTTCCCACCAAGATTATAGGCACATTAGGGCAGAAGTGCTTTACTTCAGGCGTCCACTTCTCTGGGATGTTTTCAAGTGAATCAGGAGAGTCCACCGAAAAGCACATCAAAATCACATCGGTATCTGGATATGACAAGGGACGCAATCGGTCATAATCTTCCTGACCCGCTGTGTCCCACAATGCTAGTTCCACTTGTTTGCCATCTACTTCGATGTCGGCGACGTAATTCTCAAATACTGTCGGCACATACACTTCCGGGAACTGATCCTTGCTGAACACGATCAAGAGGCATGTTTTACCGCACGCACCGTCACCAACAATCACTAACTTTTTGCGTATCGCAGCCATCGGTCCTGTGAAAGAATACAACGCAAATAATTACTATGAGCGTCAACGCCTTTCATGACTTATAAATATGGCGGCCGTATAGGAATATGGGAAGGGGAGTAGTCAGACAAGCCCTCAAATGTGAATAAGCACCTGAACTAGCGGAAGAAGAACAGCACCACCACATAGTACCCTCACATGCGAGGATGGTTATTTAGTATATTTTGTAGATACCTGAAGATTCTGGCTAATTTCTGCAGAATATTGACCTATCGACACTTTTTTAATCGTCTTTGCTCATCACAAGCGGTGTTGCCGCATTAAACAAAACTGATTTCCAAAATAACAGTCGTCACAGGTTTTACACTCTGTATTGCAAGCATTGAAATATATTTCCCTAAAATTGATAATAACATAAAACTTCAATCTAGCCGGCACTCGACTATCGTGATGAAATTGATTTTATGAACATGATTAATTTGGTTAACTATTTTTAGCGTTTATTCATAACTTCCTCATTTGCATTTTTTTCGCTATATTTCTTAAAGTTTATCTAATGTACAACCATTCAGCAAGGAAACGCAGCCAGCCAACATTCTAAATTTAGTTTTTTATTATTATAGCATTAATCATATGTAAATAAATGCTTAATCTAATCATTTAGTGAAATATTAGTAATATCATAAATTGTGCACTTAAAATGAGGTCGTGCGAGATAGTGCTAAACAAGTTTGCACCCCTTTCTACTAAAGTGACCATATGTTTTGGTATTGTTGGACTTTGATGGACTTGTGTGGGGAGAAGAATATTTATTAGAATGTGTAATATTTTTATTATATTTTGTTTAAGTTAAAAACTGCGATATTTAGTATTCAAAATGTGTATAGGATCTATAATATGTGTGCGACGCTGTAAACGAAAACCTACGTTCACAGATTAAAAAATTAAACTCAGAAGAAAGTTTGATACACTTAATTTTATTTGTTAACTTCGCGTGATATAATTTCTTAAGTTTTAGTCTCATTATATAAAAAGAGTCCCGCCAAAATCGGTTTATATGTTTCAAAGATTATGAGACAATTCTATGACAACATTTATTCGTGGTTTGTGACCACTTTGCTGCACTTTCATATTCTTAGGTAGTAGTTCCGATTATGTTTCAGGACTAGCATTAGCGAGTGATTTTCATAGCTTAATACTACTCAGTACATGCACTTTTTTTACTCTCAGGTACTATCTGAAATTAAAAGAAAGTTCATATTTTTTAACTCAATGAAAATCAAAAACTCAATAGTTCTTTTAAATTTCATTTTCGTTTTTTTTACATTGTTATCCCAAACTTATTGCTTTCCACTTTTATCTTTTCCAAAATTACACATATCTATCTACATGAAGCTTCACTTTAAAAATGTATAGAAAGAATGCGTCGTCCATACAGGTTTTTTTTTCAAATAGTAGCCAAATTTTATACTTAAGTTCAAATATATAAATAATGATATATTTTTAAATCAGTTTTTAAAAATATAAATCAATAAAGCGTTTACTTTTTTTTAAATTAACCCAAATTTAATGTGATTTTTGGCTACAACTAAGCGTACTCGCGCTTCTCTGTATAATATTCAATTCACAAAGTTTTTGTCAACTGATCGAATATTACGAATGTGTGAGAGCGTAGTAAAATAGCAGGCGTTAGATATTTATGAATGACAATCAGTGAAAATAATGCATTACCACACAGTCTGAATTTATATGACAAAAAGGACAGATTGGTTGTGATTTTTCAAATATTTTTCTAAGTAGGTACTTTATTTTTTTTTATTTTTTTTTTATAGGAGAGGGGGCAAACGAGCATGCGGCTCACCTGATGGTAAGTGACTACCGCCGCCCATGAACAACCGCAACACCAGGGGAATTGCAGATGCGTTGCCGGCCTTTTAAAAAGGAGTAGGCTCTTTTCTTGAAGGTCCCTAAGTCGTATCGGTCCGGAAAAATCGCTGGTGGTAAACTATTCCACAAGGAAGTTGTGCGAGGAAGAAAACATCTTCTAAATCGCACAGTGGTGGACCGCCAATCATCCAGATGGTGTGGATGGTATCGGGAGTTCTGCCGCGATGTGCGTTCGTGAAATTTGGCGGCTGGGATTAATCCGAACAATTCCTCAGAGCACTCCCCATGGTAAATGCGAAAGAAAATGCTAAGAGATGCAACATCTCTTCGCAGTGCCAATGAGTCGAGCCGATCGGAAAGGACTCGGTCGTCGACGATTCGAGCCGCTCTGCGCTGGATGCGGTTAAGTGGAAGAAGCTGGCACTGGGGAGCCCCAGCCCAGAGATGGGAACAGTATTCCATGTGAGGCCGAACCTGCGCCTTGTAAAGTTGCAGGCGTTGAGCCGGCATGAAATACTGTCCCGCTCTGCTGAGCACGCCAAGCTTTTTAGAGGCCAATTTGGCCTTCTCTTCCAAGTGACCACGAAACTGCACGCTACTCGATATGTCGACGCCGAGGATTCCGATACTGGCTGAGGCAACAAGGGGAGTACCTTGAAACTGAAGAGATACGACAAAGGGGTTCTTTTTAGCGGTAAACGCGCAAACTTGTGTCTTCTGAGGATTAAACTGGACTAGATTTAGTCGCCCCCAATCCGAGACTTTGTCCAGCAAAGACTCAACTTCAGACACAAGTTTGTTCCGGTACTCGGTGACGTTTTCCCGAGAAATATTGGCACGGCCGGTGTATAGAGCATCACCAGTGCTGTCATCTGCATAGCAATGAATGCTACCAGCTTGCAACATATCATTGATATGCAGAAGAAACAGCGTTGGTGATAGCACGCAGCCTTGTGGAACACCAGCGTTAATAGGCTTGTAGTCGGAGCATGCACCGTCTACAACGACCTTGATGCTCCGATCTGCAAGAAAGCTGGTGATCCAATTGCATAATTTCTCGGGAAGCCCATAGGAAGGGAGCTTCGAAAGAAGCGCTTTGTGCCAAACCCGATCGAAGGCCTTCGCAATGTCCAAACTAATGGCCAATGCCTCCCCCTTGGACTCTACTGCCAACGCCCATCTATGAGTTAAGTAGACCAGAAGATCACCAGCTGATGAACCGAAAACCGCTGAAAACCGTATTGGCGGTCACTAATCAGCTGGTGATCCTCAAGGTACCGCATGAGGTGGCAGTTTACAACGGATTCCATTATTTTGGAGAACAAGGGGGTGATGGCGATAGGCCTGTAGTTGGACGGATCTGAGCGGTCGCCTTTTTTAGGGATCGGGTGGACAAAAGCTGTCTTCCATGATTTCGGGACTACGCCTAGGGAGTAGGAGTACCGGAAAAGACGCGTTAGAACCGGTGCCAACTCCGGAGCACACGTCCTCAGCACAATTGGGGGGATTCCGTCAGGCCCACTCGACTTGTGGATGTCAAGGGAGAGGAGTGCTCTGCGAACCGAGCGCTGTGAGAATCGCACATTCGGCATGGAGCACTCACACCGCGGGATGGTCGGCGGTGTGTTCCCCCCGTCATCAACAGTCGAGTTGGACGCAAAAAGGGAGCCTAACAGGTCGGCCTTCTCTTTTGCGTCGTGGGCCAGTGAGTCGTCCTCCCTGTGCAGAGATGGTAGTGATGGCTTACAGAAATTCCCTTGGACAGCCTTGGCGAGAGACCAGAATGCACGGGTTCCCGAAGGAAGGCGAACTAGTTTCTCGCCAATTCTGCCTATGTGCTCTGACTTTGCCTTGGCAATAACTCTTTTGAAGGACCTGGAGGCGAAGTTATACTTCTTTTTGAGTGTGCTGGTGTTTACATCCCGAGTCACCGAAGCTGCAGCCCAGGCTTGATAACACTCCTGCTTACTGCGTAATGCAGTCTTACAGGAGCGACCAAACCAAGGCTGAGATCTGCCTCCGATGGGTACCACAGATGATGGAATAAATAGTTCCATTCCCTGTAGCACTACATCAGTGACAGAGTCAGCAACAGCGCTGGGATCATCCGGCGAGAAGCAAACCCGCCCCCATGGGTAGGAAGCAAAGAAAGACCGCATTCCGTCCCAATCCGCCGACCTGTAATGCCAAACACGGCGGCAACCTGCAGAACGCAACCGCGAGGGGAGCGTGAGTGGCACCACACTCCGGATCAGACAATGGTCCGAAGAGCCAAGAGGGGCATCGACGGAAACCTGATATCCGTCCGGATGAGAGGTCAGTAGAAGGTCCAACAGGGAAGGTGTATGATCCTCAATATCTGGAATCCGCGTAGGCGATGTAACCAGTTGTGTCAGACCATATGCCAAGGCAAAGTCATAAACAGATCTCCCCGCATGATCGGTTAAACGTGAACCGAGCCATTCGGCGTGGTGGGCGTTAAAATCGCCAAGGATCACGATCTCTGCGGATGGGACCTGTTGTAGCAAGGAATCTGTAGCCATTTGGACGTGGTCGATGAGTCGGTCTGTTTCGGCATTACCGCTATGGGACCTATAGAGGCACACGTAGACGCGCGGATGGTCGTCGCTGTCTACGCGTAGCCAAAGGATGGACAGGTCCGAACCTTCAAGACTGCCGAGGCGTCGAGAACAGATGTCCTCTCTGACATACACGCAAACTCCAGCCCGAGGCACAAAGGAGTGCTCCAATTTGTACCCCGGGTAGGAGAGATACGAAGTATCAGCCGGAGAGGACACCTGCGTCTCGGTCAGAAAGAGCAAGGCCGGCTTCGCCGTCTCAAGATGGTAGTGGACGGCGTTTAGGTTCGAGTGAAGTCCCCTGATGTTGCAGAAATTCACGGATAGCGTGGCAGGGGTCGCCTTGGTCTTGTTGCTCAGTTTGCCCCGAGCAGTTATTGTGTTGAGCGGAATTTTGCCCCCCCCCAGAATACACGGGGCAGCCTGAGCACCCACGCTCAGGAGTGGAATAGCATGGTCGTGGATGCTCAGCGAGGGATTCTCCAGGGGTACTGGTACCCTCCTGGGGTAGTTTTTGACGTAATTCCGCTACCATGTTGATGGGGGGGGGGGGGGGGAATTGGGCATCCGGTCACCTGCACTCACAAGACGAAACGCGGAAGCTGAGCTTCCACTTCACGCCGGTATTCTGTGAGGTCGTGGTACTAACCCGGCTCGAGCCGGCCCATACGTGCAACAGCAAAAGCTGCTGCAAGGCTCTACCACCGTTAAACCGTTTTTTATATATTTTTTTTAATAAGAATTACACATGTAATCTATATTGAATAAAAATTATTCTATTCTATAATATATTAAAAACTATAATAATAAAAAAAATAAAAAAACTAACACTAGAAACATAATTATCATATAGTCCTACT